CAAACAAACAAACAAACAAAACAAACAAACAAACAAAAAACACTCTCTAGGGACCAGCAGTTAGCATAATGACTATGTCGCTGGACTCCCATGTAGTCGACCACAGTTCACGTCCTAGACCTGGTAGCTTAAAACTCACGCTGGGCACATGTGCGTGCATGCCCAAGATCCTGAGAGGAGAATGGAGGAGAAGGGATTGTGGTGTGGTCATCCCCCCTGGGGGGTGATTTCTCGCTTTCTGTCTGTCTCTCTGTGTCTGTCTGGTGAGCACATGCACCCTATAGCAAAATAAATAAATTAAAAAAAAAAAAACTCTCAAAAAAAAAAAAAAACACTCTCTAAAAAAATAAAGTAAAATAAAATAAGTAAGAGTTTAAATTAGGCTGCATACAACAAACGTCCTCCCAAAGCTCCTGAAATAATAGCAATAGTGGCCAACTTACACCTGAGAAACCAGGCATCGCGTGGAGGTCCATCATCTCACCCACTACCTTCTTCCCAGCCTGACAGCATTGATAACGTGAATATATGTCATTATCTCTTGGGGAACAGGGAGATCTCTTATAAGCTCTGAAGATTCCCCTACCCTTGTCCTCTCTAAGCCAGTCAAATGCTCCTTCTCTGCTTTCAATAGCAGAAGTCTAATAGTGGAAGAACACTTAGCATCAACTTTTTCATTGATCTTCATTAGGCATAAAATTCATCCAAATTATTGATTGTTTTCCCAAAACACCATTACTGTAAGAGTCCTTACACTGGGCCTTGATTTTCCTGTGTCTCAGTGTTTTGTAAATTTTTCTTAAATATGAAAACGAATGCCCAGACTGCCATGTGTTCTCTTAGTGTTCTGACTATATTACATTTCCGTGGACTTAAAGTGCATTTTAAAAAAAAAGGTAATATCCATGCTGAAATTGGGTTCCATTTCCTTCAGTGATAATAAAGGGAGCTTAAGTTTTTTGCCTGAAACCTGCAGTAAGTAGTTAAGAGAAACATCTTTCCTTGAAGACAGGAGCTCTGAGGGACTTTAAAATACATTTTCTCCTCCATCGTTAATGGCTTACATTTCGACCTTCCTGCAGGGTGTAGAAAACTTCTAAATCGGCCTGGGAGAGACATGTGAACAAAAAACTCATGGCATTTTGAACGCTCACAGCTGTCTTCTTTCTAATTACCTATTCGGCGTTTGGAGAAGCATCTCAGAGAACCTAGGACTTGCAGGAAACCTGGTACCAGGCCTCGTTACTTTCCGCAGACACCATGACTGCTAGACTGGATTTTCAACCTTCCTCAGGATGTAGCCTCATTTCAAGGAATGCAAATGTCAGGGCCAAAGTGCAATTTATTGTCCAATTTTTACACTTCAATGAATAATATAAAATGAGTTTCTATGAATACAACACAGTAGTAGTGCTGTTCAAATGTAATAACTTGAACAATTAGTGCTAAATTGATCCAAAAATTCAAAATACAAGGTCACATGGCAATTCACAAGCCTACTGATAGGTTTACCGGGAAGTATTCATTTAAATTTCCTACAGTCTTATGTCTGAGTGACTTAGAATTAGTTCTTTCTAAAGATAATGATTAATAATGGTGATAGTATTAGTGAAGATGTTGATAGTGATAATATCTCTGGAGCATTCACAATGACAAATTCTGTTCTAAGAGCTTTTTAGGAATCATCTCATTTAATCCAGAGCAAAAACCTGACAAATTCTAGACTAAGGGTCAACATTAGGAAAATAAAACATTCTTCTCTGATGTAGGTACATTCTACCAGGCTTTCTCTGATGTAGGTACATTTTACCAGGGCAAGGACTTTGCATCTTATCCTCTCATGGCATGGCATAGTACCTGGCATACAAGTCACTTGACAAGCATCCTATTTGTTGAAAAAAATGAGGCAAGGAGGCAAGTTTTCCAAATCCAGACATCTGAATAGTATATGAGAAACTAACTCAGTTTGATCAAATATTTTATGATTGTCCTTTTTCGTGGCCCCATGAAGGCGATCACCTGCTTTAAGATTAGCTGATGGGGACCAGCAGTTAGTGTAATGGCTATGTCGCTGAACTCCTATGTAGCCGACCGTGGTTCTAGTCCCGGACCTGGTGGCTTAAATCATGCTAGGCACGTGTGCATGCATGCCCAAGATCCCTAGAGGAGAATGGAGGAGAAGGGATTGAGGCGTGGCCATCCCCCCTGGGGGGTGATTTTTCGCTTTCTATCTCTCTGACTTTCTGGTGAGCGCGTGGCCCCATGAAGGCGATCACCTGCTTTAAGATTAGCTGATGGGGACCAGCAGTTAGTGTAATGGCTATGTCGCTGAACTCCTATGTAGCCGACCGTGGTTCTAGTCCCGGACCTGGTGGCTTAAATCATGCTAGGCACGTGTGCATGCATGCCCAAGATCCCTAGAGGAGAATGGAGGAGAAGGGATTGAGGCGTGGCCATCCCCCCTGGGGGGTGATTTTTCGCTTTCTATCTCTCTGACTTTCTGGCGAGCGCATGCGCCCTATAGCAAAACCTCTCCAAAAAAAAAAAAAAAAAATGAAGCTGAACACTTTCTCCCCAGTCACAAACTGCCAGAAGTTTACAGAATTAGACAATGAACTCAAACTTCACACTTATCATGAGAAGCATGTGGCCACAGAAGTGACTGCAGCATGGGTGGGTGTAGCATGGCAGGGTTATGTGGCTTGAATCAGTGGTGGGAATGCAAACAAGGTTTCCTCGTGAAGCAGGGAGTCCATGGTTGTGCCCACCTGCTATGGAGTGGGACTTTCCTGTCATTGACCAAGGGGAGCTTGAGAAAGCAATCTCGGATATATTCAGAGCCACACTGTAAATGCCCTTTGGAGCATTCTCAACTTGGTCATTATTAAAAAAAAAAAGGAAAGAAAATCAGTCCTAGACTGATAACATGTACCTTATCACCTGGGGCTGGAGAGAGCTAGCAGAATCTGCAAACTTTCCAATCTGGCTAAAGACGATGATGTCCTCCACGACATTGTAAATAAGATCTTAAACAAGGAAGGTAAGACACCGAGGGGTGAATAATCCCAAACTCAACATCTTTTTATCCCACATGTCCTGCAACACAACACTGGTGACTTGCTCAGTACTAAGAAAAATAAGGAAGAGGCCACATGATAGGCTAACCTTTGGCAAAGAGAAGGATGGAGGCCAAGGAAAACCAGCCAAACAGGTTGCCAAGGGATACAGAATATCCTTTCTGAGGGCTTCTACTACTGAGTCCAGTGAAAAACAAGATTTTTTAAAAAGAGTAACAAATAAGATCAGATCTCTAAAACGATTTGGGTGTTAACTTCATCATTAAAAATAATGACTACTTTATTTTCTAATTTTTTTATAATAAGGGCCTTACTGTTGTAATCAAAAAAGTGATAAAAGTTAGGCACCTCCCCTCAGCTCCCACCCAACAATGCTGTCTGTAGAAATAATATACAAATGTACGAAGATGACTGGGTGAGAGCATGTACTGCAGCACTACGTGATAAAGTGAACATAAAATAGAGCCCTTTAAATGTGTCAACAGTGAGGAGAAAAGAAAGGGAGAAAGGAAGGGGACTCAGATGGCATAATGGTTATGTCATTGAACTCCCAGTCAACCATGGTTTGAGTCCTGGACCAGCAACAAAAAACTCATGCTGGGCATGTACGCTTGATTTCTCACTTTCTGTCTCTCCAGCGAGTCCAAGCCCCTATAACAAAAACTCTGTTAAAAAAAAAATTAAATGTTAAAGTAGCAGATAACTGTTGTTTGTATTCATTCTGTAGGGATCTCAATTAAGCATTGGGATTATGCAAACATTTTACATTATTTTAATTTTTTTCTGTATTTTTCATTCTCTTTTCAGCCTGGCTCCAGGTGAGAGTTCAGAACTTCCCAAACATTGTGGCGAACTTGAGACGGCCAAGGGAAAGGAGTTCTTTCCCTGCTATTTGAGGAAGCGCCGTGAGAACTCAGAGCAGACTGGGTTAGAGAGGGGTCTGACGCAGAGGCGGCCAGACAGACAGCATGACTGTTGGGAGGCCTCCAGCACAGATGAAGAGGGTGGCGTTCTAGAATAGTTTGGCAAGTTACGTGGCTGTCTCAGGACTGAGGATGTAGCTCCCCACACCAAAAGGCAGGAGGGCAGGGGAACCTAACCACAATCGAACACTCTGCTGTTTTATTAATCCTCACGACTACCCTGTGAGACAGGTGCTTTCCTGCTTTATGAATGTGAGAACTTGTTCAAGGTCACACAGCCCTATGTGTGACCTTCTTCTGACATCTGATGCCCAACCTTTTTCCTCTCTACACTCCTTTTTTTTTTTTTTTTTTTTTGAGAGGATTTGGCTATAGGGCACATGTGCTCTCCAGAAAGACAGAGAGAGACAGAGAAATAGAAAGTGAGAAATCACTCCCCAGAAAGTATGGCCACACCACAGTCCCTTCTCCTCCATTCTCCTCTTGGGATCTTGGGCGTGCATGTACACGCACCCAGTGTGAGTTTAAGACATCGGGTCCAGGACTTGAACCGCGGTAGACTACATGGGAGATCAGCGACACAGTCATTACACTAACTGCTGGTCCCAGATCCCACTTCTTTTTACAAAAAGAATGGTCAATATTTTTGCCACAGGAGTCAGGGGATGCAAATGGCCTAAGCGGAATATGAGCTTTGGCCTACTCTTCCTGAAGCAGAATCTGAAGCCACTGCATTGAACTGGGCTTCTTTCACTCAAGAGAAATTGGACAGCAGAACACTCAGCACAAGCTATGTCCTCAGTTTTCTTGAGACACAAAATGCAGCCAGATTAAATACTGATAACCTGTGGTGAACATTTCCACTGTAAGAGCTCTTTCCTTGGACCTTGTTTTCAAATATGTCACACTCAAACTTTTCCCACACGGAACTGTTAGGCCAGAGTGCCATGTTTTCTCCCTGCATTCTGACCACAGGTTTCTGTGCACTGGAAGTTGGAGTTTAACATGTTTCTATTTTTCCCACCATGAATTTGGGAGTCACCCTTGACCTCCTGACAGCTCGGGACTCATCACTAAGGGACAGGTCTGAGCCTGTAAGTCAAACACAAGTCATGAGTGCCAGGTGTAGCTTTGTGTCCTAAATATCACTTCTATCCTTTGAGAACCTCTCCAAGTGCAGCCAAACCAGGCTGGAACGTTTACAAACTACCTTGGAAGTCTATACCTGCATCCTTCCTATAATTTACTGCCCCACGTAGAATGATCAGCTTATTCAACAGAGGAGCATCTACCACCACCGTGCTAGCTGCATTTTGATCCAGAGATCTCACATTCTGTAAACGTGATGCCCTCTGCGCCCTGCATATTCCTCTATGTTTATTAAGTTCATAACAAGAGTGGTTGAATGTCAAGAACAATCATCCTTCAGTCAGATGGCCTCTCAAATGCAAATCTAATCATACTAACACCAATTGCTCTCCTCCTTAAAATATTCAAAAAGTTCCTATTGTTTTTAGAATACAAAGAAAGCTATAGGGACCAGCAGATGGTAATGGCTATGTTGCTGGACTCCCATGTAGTCAACCAGGGTTCGAGTCCCAGACTCGGTGTCTTAAACACGTGCTGGGCACGTGTGTGTGCATGCCCAAGATCTCGAGAGGAGAATGGAGGAGAAGGGATCATGGCACGGCCATCTCCCTGGAGGGTGATTTCTTGCTTTCTGTCTCTCTGTGTCTCCCTGTATCTCTGGCAAGCTCACATACCCTAGCAAAAACCTCTTCAAAAAAAAAAAAGAAAGAAAGAAAGAAAAAATGAAGGAGGCTCTGAAGCAATGCATGCTGTAACTCAGAATTTCTCAGTCCTGGCTGTACATGAGGATCACACGGGGGTTGTTGTGTATGTGTTTTGTGGTGGTTGTTGTTTGCTTATGCAAGAGGGTGCATGTGTTTGCTAGAGAGAGAAAGTATCCCCCAGCAGGATCTGACCATAGCACAAACCTTTATCCGCCATTTCTTTACAAAGCCTGGCAGGATCTGGGCACACCCTGCATGCTGCCATTGGTGCTAGGGTTGGAACCCTGTTAGGTTATGTGGGATCCAGTTTCAACTGCACAGTGCTTAACCATTGTGCTACAGAGTCAGTCCCATATTTCCCTACTTATTCATATTTTTTAAATTTATCAGAGAATATGTGTGCTTACCAAAGAGAGACAAAAGGAGAGGGAGAAGTGAGGTGTGATCACACTCCAATCTCTTCTCCGTTTTTCTATCCTTTCAGGATTTTGAGCACACACACACATGTACCCAGCATGTTTTTCAAGCTGCAAGGTCCAGAATTTGAACCATGCACTCAGTCACATGGAATCTGGCTCTCTTAACCACAGGGCTTGCCTGTTTTTTATTTTTTTCTCTTTTTTTTTTTAATAAAAATAAGAATGCCTTGGACCCATTCCATGGACATTAAATCAGATTCTCTAGGATGTGAAGAAGAGTTGTGTCTTACAAACTTCCCATGGGATCCTGTTGCGCTCTTGCCTAAATCTTCATAAATCAGCCTCTCTGGCTTTCTTTGTCAATTCTTGGATACCCTGTGCTTCTTTTCATCAAAGACTTTGTCCCAAACTAGAATAAGCCTTCCCCTTCCCCACCGTACTCCTATAGACCTACCTGTACTTCCATGTCTCAGTACCAATATTCCTTCCTCCAGGAAGCCCTAAACTTTCCCCAACCTCCTAGAATAGGTCAGAGATGGTGATAAAGATGGTGAATATTGTTAACTTGCTTCAACTGTCACAATTTGCAACTATGATTTTTTTTTTTTTTTAGGAGAGAGATTTTTCTATAGGGCACATGCACTCACCAGAGAGCCAAGAGACAGAATGCAAGAAATCACCCCCCCCCCAGGGGGGGATGGCCATGCCTTAATCCCCTTTCCTCTATTCTCCTCTTGGGATCTTGGGTTTGCTCACACATGCGCCTAGAATGAGGCTTAAGCCACCAGGTCCAGGACTCGAACTATGGCCGACTACGTGGGAGTCTACCATTACACCATCTGGTGGTCCCACAACTATTCATTTTTGATTCTAGAATAATTCAATTACCATTCATATTTCTCAGGAGAAAATTAGCTCAATGAAGGCAAGGCACGTCTGCTTGCTCATCATAGGAGAGCACCTAACACAGCAGACATTCAGTACTTATTGACTGACTGAATAAAGGAGACCCAGTCATTCATGATCCAGTCACAGAGTCTAAAAAATCTGGGAAAGGGTTAAAATGGCCAAGTCCTTCATACCAGAGAATGAGAATGAACTGTCCCCTTGGCAACATACTACCTTTGTTAGTTCTGCATGAGTAGTTAGAGAAGTAGAGTGAGGTACAGAACAGAGAATACCCACATTACTGTTTCTAGAGTGCTGACCAGAAAGAAGCAGTAAAATCATAGCCAATAAGCAGAGTCTGACATATCTGAAGACCAGTTCTAGGGGTTTGTTGACATGAAGAACAACATCGTCTCAGAGCAGTTGGGAACTGAGCATCTGAGTCTAATTATAATGAAAACAGTTTCAGTCAGGCTAGACCTTTTCATCAAATGGAACTTTTACATGAAATGGAACTTTTACTTGAAAATGGGCAATTACAAATAGATCCAGATGGTTGTGTTCTAGTCTTACGCCTGTTTCCAAAACTACCATGACGACTCTTTCTCACTTCCCCATCCGTGTAAATTCCTCAGATGATAAACACCTTTTCCCATGTCTCATTCTTACCAGTCATGTAGCAGAAGCTGCTTTATTAAGCCTTTAGGAGTGTTTTAGCTCACCTCACTCTTAATAGCAGGGTAAGGACCATGCAGTCATCATTAAATAATAGCTAGTGTTTGTTTAGTGCTTATGTGCTAACTAACTACTGTGATAAATGCTGGGTATATATTATCTTCAATCCACACAGCCTGGCCAGGTAAGTATTAGCATTCCCACTTAAAAGATAAAAGAGACCAAAGCAGGACCAGTAGTTAGCATAATGGCTATGTCTCTGGATTCCCACGTAGTCGACTCTGGTTCACACCCCGGACCCGGTGGCTTAAAACTCACGCCGGGCACATGTGTATGCGTGCCCAAGATCCCGAGAGGAGAATGGAGGAGAAGGGATTGCGGCATGGCCATCCCCCCTGGGGGGGGGGTGATTTCTAGCTTTCTGTCTCTATGTCTCTAAAAAGACCAAAGCTCTGAGTAACTAAGTACATTGTCCATAAGTTGTAGCTGTTAGGTAGGGAAGGAAGGGAAGGAAGAATTGGAAACAAAGTTTTTGTCAGAGTATAAGATCTGAATTCTCCCAGTATATCCCAGGCATGTACTGAATTCTCCCAGTATATGCCTGGACACATATACTGTGTCCATGAAAACAGAACACCCATGCCAGAGATAATAACTGTATCCAGGCACCCTACTGGTAGAGAATTCAATCACTTTGCTATCCTATTTCCTTTTCCATCTCTAGGCCTTCTGAAAAAATGGTCTTTAGCTTACCCTTACGCTCCCCTCCCCTTCTTTTCCCATCCCTTCCCTTCCCCTCCCTTCTCTTTCATAATTGCCAGAGATGGTGTCCAATCACTAGAGAGAAAGAGAGAGAGAGAGAGAATGATAAAATGCTCTCCCTACCCTCCAACCCCTGGTGGAACATGGTCATGCCACAATCTCTTCTCCTCTGCTTCTCTATCTTGTCCAGATTTGACATATATGGATATGCCTGGGATGTTTGTCAAGTGACCAAGGCCTGATTTGGACAGTGATCAGCAACTTTATAATAGGGTCCTGCTCTCTTAAACACTAGGCTACTGAGCCAGCCCAGATGCTTTCTTAAAAATCCAAATCTCACCTTCTTGGTAGGCTTTTCTTTTTTTTTGTGATTTACGGTAGAGAAGGCATTAGCTTGGGTGGGGAAATTTTATTTTTAGAATTTGAGATAACGTACAAATTTCCTTTAAGAGATTTCAAGGCCAAAGGAACAGCATGAGCAAATGAAAAAAGGCTTCCCACCAAAAATACTATGACACATTTAGGGTCATTAGGATTAGGGATACTGGGAGTCAAAAGAAGGATATTGGAGGGTCGGTTGACTGGCAGTAGCAAAAGCTATCCATGTAAAATATACTTTATGCAGAAGTACATTAGATGGATTGGTTTATTCTCCAAATTGGAAAAGATAACTGCCCTCACTATGCCCCGGAAATGATCAGTTCCCACCTTCAAGCTTGCATATTGCAATGGGAAATGATTTTGTTCTATGCATTGAGGGCCCTGAGTTGCGGTAATTCTCAGAGTAAATGTAAACAATGTGTACGCATCATGCTGAAGAGATACAAAAGAGCAGTCCCTGCGTGATGATCTTAGTTTAGCGGCAGACACGCTTGTGTCTATGCTAAATGACTCACAAGTTGATTATTATAAATAATGAAAAAATGAAGTTCTAAAAATAGTTTACTTAAAAGTGACTCATGGCAGAGAAACATTGACCCCATTAATTAAAATATTTTTTTTTCCTGCGTGTATATTTTGAATGACTTTCAAGGAAACCACCTCTTGCAGAATACAATTCCAACTATGACTTAAGTAGATAAGTCCAATATTCTGTTGGCTCTACACCAGGAGGTGGGTGGGGAGGACTTTGGGAACCCTTCCAATATTTTTGTGAAAAGTCTTTTAATGAATACAAAGAATCATGAAGTGCTAATACACTGGGACAGCACTAATGTCTCAGAACAGAAGTTTATTTCTAACCTGCAGTTTTATACATCCATACACAATTTTCAAATTTCCTTTTTTTAGCACATAATTATTTTCCTAATTAACTAATTAGACATTTTAGCAGGCTTAAAGACTACAAAGGTTAAATACATAACTGTTTAATGGTTACCGCGGCTGAAAAAAAAATTGTGTTAATAAAGGCTGAGTTCTCAAACACGTTTTTCATTTTTCCCTAAGAATATAATTCCACATTAAGCAGTGCTTTATTATGGATGCTAAGGGTAGGTGGAGTGGGAACAGATCCCAGCTCTCTACTTTGAATCTGAATCTAAAATTTTATAGATGGAATTGTAATATTTCCATATAACTATATTCCTGTTAACAAGAGCCTGTTTATTAACCACACAGAACAAGGCATGGCGCTTTAACTAATTCTGGATGGGTTCCCCCACCTCAGTCATCACCGGGTCTTGAGGTAGAAAGTTGTTCTAGTCCATTCTCTGCTAGTAACAGCAAAACAACAAAATTTGAAACTGGGTGATTTATCAGAATAAAGGTTTATTCAACCCATGATATAGAGGTTCAAAGTCCCACGGCCATGTCTAGTGAGGGTCTTTTCGTGGGTGGGTCTCATAGTAAGAAAAAGCAGAGCAGGGCATACGTGTCCGTGTCCACGTGTCTCCATCATGCTCTCTCTCTCTCTTTTTTTTTTTTTGGAGAGGTTTTCGCTATAGGGCGCGTGCGCTCACCAGACAGACAGAGAGAGATATAGAGACAGAAAGTGAGAAATCACCCCCCAGGGGAGATGGCCAAGGGTGATGGTCACGCCACAATCCCTTCTCCTCCATTCTCCTCTCGGGATCTTGGGCATGCACACACACGCGCCCAGCGTGAGTTTTAAGCCACCGGATCCGGGACGCGAATGGCGGTCAACTATGTGGGAGTCCAGCGACATAGCCATTACACTAACTGCTGGCTCCCCATCATGCTCTCTCTTCATAAACCCACCAGGCTTCCAGCATGAGTACCCCATCCTGATGATCTTAATCCTAATCCCTTCTTATAGGCCCCATCTTTTTTTCTTTCACTTTTTATTTCAATTTCTTTTATACTTTCAATCATATGTTACTTAACTTGCAAAGTGACTATTCCAACATGTGTACATTTCTCACCAGTCCAGTTAACAATACTATAAAGTTATCTTCAATAGATAATAACCCATTTCTTTGTCTCTTAAATGACTTGCCTCTCTATTTTTCTCCTTAATGTCCTTCCTCAGACGCTACTTCTTCACTCACTGTTCCCACACTGTATCTGCCATTCACAACCATTTACTATGTTTCTACATCCTTTAGCCATTCAGTTTCGGCTGTAATGTGCAGACACTCTTATCTCAGTATATTAAGTAGAGACATACAATGTCTCTCCTTCATAGCCTGGCTTGCTTCACTTTGCAGTAAATCTTCCATATTCATTCACTTTTTTTGTCAAAAGCCAAGGTCTTGTAAAAACAAAGCAAAACAAAACAATAGACCCCAACTTTTAACACCTTAGATTTGTTTTCATCCTTTTAATCCCATTACAGACAAATCTCAACACATAGATTCTTTTAAAAGTTTCTTTATCTCTTTCATGAGTAACAAAGAATGAAGTTCTGAAAATAGTTTACTTGTAAGTGACTCCTGACAGAGAAATATTGACCCTATTAATTCAAATCATTTTTCCTGCGTGTATATTTTGAATGACTTTCAAAGAAAATAGCCTCTTGCAGAATTCAATGCACCTGGCATCCTCAGGGAGGTCTCTGGGTGTGCACTTAAAACCTTCCCACATGGGCCAGCCTCACCGAGTGTCATATCACACCACTGTCACACATTCTGAACACACAAATTTTGTCAGACACCTTTAAACTATAGCAGAAAGGCCGCTGGCATGGTTTCATAGATAAACGGCCCACTACCTTGTTCTGCAGAAATGTAGGGTTC